GAGAGAGTTTGCAGCAATCTGCAAATTAAATTAGAGAAGATGAGATCACAGTAAATTAATTTGAGAGAAATATTTTTATGGTAGTGCATGTGTTGGTCTACCAAGTCGCATATGGTCCTATGGGCGAAACGACAGCGAAAAACAGAAGTGATAACTTTTGACCTGAAACTTTGCCAATCATCTATGGTTCCTGGAATCAATTCAAGGAAACTGATATGAGCTCTTAGAACCCTCGAATGTGAATTTCGATATGGGATTTTCTTTTGGGTTTTAATCAAATTCTCTCTCTGAGTACTTCATGTTAAGATAGTTCTGGTTGTGTCAAGACAGCCCGGTAATTATCTCATCTTTCTCTAGTTTGCAGATTTCTGCAAATTCCCTCCCTCCCTCCCTCCCTCAACGATTCCCGTGAAATCGCAAGACTAGGCGTCTTCATTTTTATGTTGTTAACATATAGTTTCTTTATTTAAAATTTTGCAGAAGGACATAAAGAAACTGTTGGCTATCGTGTGAAGCCAGAAGTCGAGTTTATAGCACTTGTGTCTGCTTTATGTGGACAGCTTAAATAATAAGAGGAAAGCATGGGGGTTTATGGTATATATATGATTGTATAAGAGGCATGATACTAACTCCTTCAATGTAGACTCTGTATTCTTCTGTAATCATTTAGGTATGTTATGGAGTTATGCATAAATGGAAGGCAGTCTTCTTGGATGATGAATTACATATGCGGTTTCAAATGCGAATTATTATTATTATTATCATTATTGTTATTTGGGTAGATGTGTGGGGATTACAGCCTCTACCTGTTTTAGAAATAGTTTAGTAGTTTTATTCATCAGCCAGAATGGAAGTGTAGACCCTGAGCTGAAGCTCAGGTGGTGCCACCACTACAACCCGAACCCCATTTGCTTTATTTTCATCCGAAGTTGGACGATGACATCTAGTGGGTATCCTTTGTGGGATCCATCCGTCGCCTCGCCACTGTTTTATGAGCCGGTCACTTTTATCAGCCAGTGATATGACTGCAACTGGCCCAGTCAGGGCTGGCCTGGGAGCTTTAGATGTTTAGAGGCCTTGACTGAGCAAAACTCAGGAGTTAGTTATTTTTAGTTGAGGTTTGATTCTCATTGATTCTTACTCCTTGTTGTGTTATGTCTTGAAGTAACTAGATACTTATTTTTTCTTCTTCAGTGTTGTGTCCATCTTAGAAGATGAGTTAAGAGTCAATTGCATCTTTCTAGCTCAAGGAACCATAAGCATACAATGAAAACTCACTGAAATGTTATAATTAATATTGATACTTGAACTCCCATCATATGAAACAGAGCGGGTCTTATCATTCAACTTGATATGTTGAGCTACAACTTAATGAGATGTTAATTGTAATTAGCTTATAGTATGTTGTTAATCCTCAATAGAGAAAGATACGAGATGAGAGATAAAAGCAAGTCACAATGGCCAAAAGAAATTCTACTACCTTGGGAGTATACTGTTCATTTACTCCCTCGTGTAAAACCTAATGTAGGATTAATTTTAGAACCTTAAATTTTGGGGATATAATTATAAACTATTTACATGCATATTAACCTCAATAAATTTTTCCCCTAATTCTACCCTCTAAGCACTTTTAAACAATTTGTGTCTAAAAATTGAATAGAAATTGTCCAAGGGTGGTTGCAACCGTGTTATTGAATAGAAATAAAGTTCCAAATTTTTTTTTTTTTTTCAGACTTCGTGATTTACTTCTAGCCATCCAATTTGACATCTAATGAGTGGAAATGATTGTGATTTTTATGTACAAAAGATCCATGTACAAAAAATAAATGGTCTATTTGTAGACAGTTTTTTTTTAGAATGTGAGATCTAAGTGTTAGAAAAATCAAATTTCAATTTGTTTTGTTTTTTTTGTTGTTGAGAATGACCATGTAGTGATTCTTAGATGGTTAGCAAACTTTCAAATTGAAAAAATCCTCTCAAGTGAGTAATCTAACTAAGGGAATAGAAGTAAAGTATAAGTAAACTATGCTCTTGAGGGAATATAGTATAAGTGCTCGTCTTAATATACAGTGTTTTAGAATTTGTATTGGTAGTTGGACTGCCCATCCATTGATTATGCAGATTGGCGATTTGGATCGGGTGAGCTAAAAAAACAAAAAAAGGATATGTAAGGGGCTTTTTTGTTTCAAGCTCTTTTCTTTTTGCATTTTTTTTTCATAACGACGATTTGGTTTTACTCATCGTTATTAACTATTTTTCGTTGGAGGGAGTATTTTATGGGCCAAATCACTTATTTAGCTTAAGAATCCCCAGGATGGTTCCTGATACAGATCTAGATCGGCAAACTGCAAACGTGGCAAACTCAAAAAAAGTAAGAAGATATGTATACGTGTTTTTTTGTGCGAGTGTGCGATGTGAATGGTACGATTGTGTAACGTGAGTATTTTCTCAAAAAAAGATGATGTAAAGTGAGTAAAAAAAAAGAGAGTGAAAGTTGTTAAAGAGAGTGGTGGCGGTGAAGGTATTAGTTGTGCATGTAGTGGTGTGTCGTATGCGTGTAAATTGTAGAGAGGGAAAGAGAAATTGCAGAGAAGTGTTTATGTTTTTATTATAGAATAAAATATAGAGAAAATTGCGTACAGACACTGTTGGGAGGGTGGTCAATTGTTAAATGGGCACTTGTTTGTCTGAAATTACGAGCATCTCTCTCTCGTGGCAATTTTTTTTTTAAGTTTTCCCCCTGTCCGGCAATGCAAATGCTAGAGAGCATCCATTTAAACTTGGGTGAATTTGTTGTATGGTGTTTGAAATACTAAACAACTATTTGGTTTAAAAAAAAATATGCGAGCTTCATTTCCTGCTCTCACTCTCTATTTTCTTTTTGCACTCTCTAACACCACCTGATTTTTATTAAGAGTAGCTTTTTTAAGCTTCTCGATTCGATCAACGGAAGTTCATTCAATGGTGGGAATAGAGTTTTCTCTTCTATCTAGTGAGCTTAGAGTTTCTTTGGTTGTGGTTTCTAGGGTTTGAAGCTTCGAGTATAGGATTAGAAGCTTCGAGAATATTTCCATTTCAGAACAAAGGTAAGCCGTGCCAAAAAATGGGGGATTTGAGAGTATAAAATAGAGGGGAAATGAAAAATCACAATGAGCATACCAGCATCAAAGAGAAGAACATGGATGCAATAGCTACCTCTAATGTGAACACGAGCAAACGAATATATTTGAAAAGTTTTAGAAACCAGTATCCGCCATTAAAATGATCTGTTTTTCAACAGTGATACAAATTAAGTCAAAAGAGATAGATATTTTCTGGTTTTATCAAAGTTCTTGAAAGACTCAAGTGAGGATTTTATTCTTTGAATAAATTTTTTTTCTCAGGAAAATCATTGTGTAGCTTTTACATTGAAAATAAAACTTGAGAGGTAGAGAGAGAGTAGGAGCAGGAAATGGGGCTTCAAACCTTAGAAATGAGGTTTGCACGTTTTTTCAAGTTAAATAGTTGTTCGGTATTTCGAACCTCGAACAATATATTTATCGAAGTTTAAACGAATGCTCTTTGTCCGGTGTTTGCATTGCCAAACAGAGAAACAACTTAGAAGAAAAAGATTTTCAAAGGTTGCTCCAAAATTTCGAAAGAGTAAGTGCTCATTTGATAATTAACCCCTCAACAGTATCCTTACATAATTTGCTTTACAATAGACATACGTGCCACACACCACAAGAATAAAATATTTTATTACGCAATATACACATAAACATGCACCTCTCTCTCTCTCTCTCTCTCTCTCTCTCTAGTTTCTCTCTTCTTATATGTATGTACACACCACTACATGCACCACTAACACCCTCGCCCCTACCACTCTCTTTAACAACTCTCGCTCTATTTTTTTTATTTTTACATACTTTACACAATCATACCATTCACATCACACACATGCCACCTCACCACCACTCACGTGTCTCTCTCTCTGTCTCTGTTGCCACCCTCTCTTTCCCTCTACCACTTTGCATCCTATCTTTTTCTCTTTACACCCCTCTTCTCTCTCACTAAGGATCACGCACACAGCTTGAGCCCCTGCCCCCCATTTATAGTTCCTTGCACCACCAGGCTCGTATTGTCAACACATTCACCTACTTCTTGTTTCGGATGAATCATTTGGTATATCGAACCGTTATCGGTTTGTTTGGTTGAATCATTTGGGATATCGGATCGCTACCCTTTTTATTAAGTAAAAACAAAGGAGAATTATAAAAACCCCCAAAAGTATACTGTCTATCCAACTTAACTTGAGCTAATTTTTTCTCACTTTTTCCCCTCACAACTACATGTCGTCTAAAAAATTCTCCATATCTAAAAAAAAAAAAGACCCCTCTCTCTCCTCGTGGCTTTTACCCACGGCTCTCTCCCCGTGCGCTCCGGCAATCTATTTAAACGTTCCGGCAATGATGACATGTGCTTCGGCAATGCAAGGATTCGCTCCGATAGTACACCTTCTTGAGCCAAAGTGTTCCGGCGGTTGGATAGGTCGCTCCGACCATGAGGACACACGCTCCAGCAATGCAAGGACTCGCTCCAGCAGTATACTATTTGGAGCCACAGCGCTCTGGCGGTTGAATAGGTCGATTCGGCAATGAAGATAAGCACTTCGGCAAGGTTGAATTGACCGCTTTGGCAATACACTACTTGGGGCTGCCAATTATAAAAAATAACAACTTTTTACCTTGGGGGTTTTTGTGAGGAAAAGTAGTTGTGGAGAGAAAAGTGAAAGACAAAGTTAGCTTGGGTTAAATTGTATAGATAGTACACTTGGGGGTTCTTGTAATTTTCCCTAAAAATAAAGTGTTACATGAGCACCAATTATAACCGTTGCTAAATACATGAGCACCAATTATAACCGTTGCTAAAAAAGCACTAGTAACATTGGATAAAGCGAAAGGCATTACAAAATCAAAGTGTTACATGAGCAACAATTATAACCATTGCTAAGAGAACACTAGTAAAATCAGATAACCATTGCTAAGAGAACGAAAGGCATTACAAAATCAAGTGTTACATGAGCAACAATTATAACCATTGCTAAGAGAACACTAGTAAAATCAGATAACCATTGCTAAGAGAACTAAAGGCATTACAAAATCAAGTGTTACATGAGCAACAATTATAACCATTGCTAAGAGAACACTAGTAAAATCAGATAACCATTGCTAAGAGAACGAAAGGCATTACAAAATCAAGTGTTACATGAGCAACAATTATAACCATTGCTAAGAGAACACTAGTAAGCAGTACAAAATCTAGTGGACGATCTCCACACGATTGCTTCATTCATAGAGACTACATGGTTGGTTTTGGTGAACTGTTATTCTTCAAAACCATTTGGAATCAGCTATCAAGACCTTTTGTGACCTTCAATGGAGGAATCTAGCCTAGAAAGGGATAACAGAAGCGTTCATGGCTGCACTGCTCCAAGCCACGCCTCGACCGCGGCATCCAAGCTCAAGCGCGATGTTCCGCCCTCACTCAAAGCGGTGGCGGCTTTCTCTTTAAGGGCCTTACTCCTGTCTCTGAGCATGTTCCCCTTCTCCGACTCCATTAGCCCCTTCACACACCGAGCCACTGCACCACCATCTACGAACCCGCTGTCCCCTATCTCCATCGCCATTGCAATCTTCATCTCTTCCACCATAAACAACGCGTTGAGATGTTGCTCTGCATACAGGGGCCAAGCCAACATGGGCACCCCTGCGCACACGCTCTCGAGGGCGGAGTTCCACCCGCAGTGCGTCACAAAGCCCCCCACCGCAGGGTGGTTCAGAACCGCCACCTGCGGTGCCCAGGACGTCATCACCATCCCGAACTCAGCAGTCCGCCCTAAAAACCCCTCTGGTAAGAGCGCATCGAGGTCGGGTTCGTGCATGAGGCGAGTGCTGTGTATCACCCAAAGGAACCTTTGCCGGCTGTTCTCGAGCCCGATTGCAATCTCCTTAATTTGAGGAGGCGAGAAGGTCCCTTGGCTCCCGAAGCACAAGTACACCACGCTTGCAGCTGGCTGCACGCGGAGCCATTCCAAGCACTGGCAATCGTCATCACCGCCGCTAGTGGAAGCAGCGATGAGGGGGCCAATGCAGTAGACTGGGGGGGTGGGAACATCAGGGGTGCACTCACCAAAGGCTAGGGCTCGGAGGGCACGGGGCGGCTCTAGTTCATCAAAGGAATTGACTAATATTCCTTGTGTGAGAGCAATTCGATTGCAAGCTTTGACAAACCAATCATAAGCTTTGTTGGTGCGGTCAAGTAAAGGGTCTGGCATGCTGGTCGGTGGCACTAAGGGGAGGCCTGGCACTATGAGGAGCTCCTTTTGGTCACGGAAGCTGATGGGAATTCGGGAGTGGAGGGTGGGGGTGTATAGGAAGATGGCGAGATCCGCAGCACTCGACGTGTAGAAGACGTGCGCCGGGATGTGCATATCGTTGGCGACATCGAGAGCGGTCATACAGAAAAGGTCCATGATGAAAGCCACTATATTAGATTGTTCACATATGGATTCGAGGGCTTTCGAGACACTGGGGTTACTGTCATGGATGAATTCAAAGACGAGGGTCTCTAGATTTAGAGAATGATCGACAGAGAATTCAGGGGGCGAGAGCTCGAGGAAAGCGATGTCCGGAAATTCATTGGAAATATAGGCGATGTAAGGGGCGGTGTTGCCGACATAGAACGGAGGGTTAACGGTGAGGATGGTGGTGGAGAGATTGGGGTGGCGATGGAGGATGAGCTTGGCCAGCTCCACCATAGACATAAGGTGGCCGGAGCAGGGAGATGGGTAAAGAACCACCACCATTTCCTTCATCTCTTTTGATCTTTACCCACTCTGAATCTGAAGGGTGCAAATGCGAAGACACAGAATTGGGATCCTTCACGTCCAGCGTTTTGGTCCGCATACAAGTTTGACATGTTACGGTGAGAATTGAAGAACTAACTGTGCCTAGTGTTTGGTCGCACCTAACATTCCTGGAGCTGTAGCTCCTATAGCTTACTCTCTTGGGTGTACACTATTTATGTACTCCCTTGGGCAGACGGTCCTACTTAAGAAGATTTTTTTGCTATTATAAGATTGCGGAAGGTTTCTATACTTCCCCTACCGTGTGGACGATATATACTTTCCCTCCATCCCAGCCATTCAATTTTGATCAAGTGAACCGCAGAGAGTTTGATCTAGATCCGATTTTTCAAAGTATTTTATTTTCAATTGTTTTTCTACAAATTATATGAATATGAAATATGGTACATGCTATTATCTCAATAGGGGGCACTTAAAAAAATATTAGATGACTGTTTTCGATAAAATAAAATGAACAAAATACCTCTGAAATTTTTAAGGGAATTTTGGCTATTTTATTTTATTGAGAATATTTATATATATTTTACCGGTGCGAGTTTAAGAGAGGAGTAGACACCCAAATTTGGTATTTTGTAGAAAATAAACATTGTGATTAGGATCATCTCAGCCGTCCATCCAGAATGGATGGTTGGATTGAGAGAAGTATATAAGTTTTATATACATTAAGGGAAGTACAGAAAGGTTGCCCGTAAGATTTTGTAAACCACTATTGAAAAGCTAGCATGGATCTTCAAAAAAACAACATTTTGGATTTTGAGTTTCTAAACACTTGGACTTGTTCCTCTAAAAATTGGACACTATTTATTCAACTAAGGGGAAAAGATATTCAACTAAGGGGCCAATCTTTTCAGGCAACCCAAACTATGTATGATTTTTGTTCTCTTGAAATTGGTCATTGGGTTCACATCCACGAAACTTTGGACCCTAAGGACTATTCTGTTTGTCTCTAGTTAATATACGATGTGCTCCTGCGCGGTGTCATACAATCTCTTGACCAAAAGCTAAATGGAAAATTTTGCATGTGATGCTCCACATATATAAAGTAAATATGATCAGATATTCTCAACCATTCAATCTAAATGGATGACTGAGGTGGCTTTCTCTTGATGCAATGATCATGATATTATATTTTTAATTTTATGTTTTAAATACTTCACAAAATTAAGAGTATGTTTCATATACTAGTATGGACCATTGCAAGACTACTAGTCAATAGCATTTTATTGCTCCCCTCATGCAAAAAAAAATAAGTGGTGGACGGGCAGGTGAACTTCTTTTTTGATAGATAAGTGGGAAATACAAGCCCCTACCCGTTTTAAAAATAGTTAATGATTTAAATACTTCACAAAATTAAAAGCATGTTTGATATACTAGTATGGACCATTCAAGTAAATTTAAGAAATAGTAAATGGTTTAAATACTTCACAAAATTAAAACCATGTTTCATTTACTAGTATAGACCATTGCAAGACCACTCGTAAGTAGCATTTATTGCTCCCCTGATGCTGCAGAAAATAAGTGGTGGACTGGCAGGTGAACTTCTTTCTGGGTAGATCAATGGGGAAATACGGCACCAACCCATTTTAGAAAAGTTTAATAGTGTTGGAGGACTCAGGTAGTGTTACAGGAAAAATCGGGCGTTCAAATTCTAACCACCCGGTTAGATTGGAATTTCAACCGGTTTTGGTGAACCGGTTGGATTAATTTTAAAAAATTCAAAAAAATATTATATAAAATCTTTAAAAATAATGAATTTTGTTTGTAATGTATTATTTTAATGAAGAGTGAATATTGTTTTGGTTATTAATACTTACTTTTTAAATTTTCCCATCTTTTTTAGAAAATGTCAAAAATGTCCCTAGGCACAAATCAATTATTTAAAATCTAGTTTTCATTAATTTTTTTTTTCATTTAGATGTACTTTATTTAATCATGTTTTAATATATTTTTTACATTTTATTAATTTTTTATTTTTTAATACTTTTTTGTTCCCCTAGGATTTGCCAGTTAAGCCGATTGAACCAGCTAGTTAATCGGTTAGTACCGAATAACTACTTCCACTCGTTACAACATAACCTTCCGACCAGTATTCGTAAAATCAAACTGGAACGGTTAACCAGACATGGGCCTAGAAGCAGTTTAACCGGCCTAACTAGTAAACCCGCCGATTCAACTGCTCTTACCAAACAAGTCCCGGACAATAAAAAAAGTGTTGAAAAAACATAAAAATAAAAATCTACTAAAATATGAAAAACACATAACGAATAATTAAAATAAAACACATTCAAATGAAGTTGAAAATTAATGACAAAAATGGATTTTAACCCATTTTATATTTTTCAAGAGCTATTTTTAAATTTTTTTAAAAAAGATGGGAAAATATAAAAGTGAGTATTAATGACCAAAACAATTTTTAATCTTTACCATAATATAATAATATTTAAAAATACATTACAAATCAAAAATACCTTATTTTTTAGAATTTTTATACATTTTTTTTAATGTTTTTTTTAAATACTGATTGATCACCCTAATCGCCCAAAACCAAAACCAATCATTGACTGGTTTCAATCTAACCGGACGGCTAACAGTTAAATTGGGCGATTTTGTGAACAATGCTTCCGATGCTAGATAAAGCATGACATCGACCCTGGGTAGCAACTCAATCATTAAAGTTGACCCATTGCTCTCAAAAGGCTTTTAAAAAGTTGGGAAGCATGTGAGGAAATTGCCTCCACCATGGTACCCTATGTATTACACAACACATGTTTTTTTACAGTACAGAACACATGGTACACTTGGTGTTCCACGATTAAAGCACTCCTTACGAAAGGATTTATTACGGGAAAATTGCATAAATCCCCCAAATTAAGCTTTTCTATCAATTTACCCCTAGCCTTATATTCCCTAACAACTTTTAGGACGAAACTATCTATTCTAGCAAATACCCCCTAATATAAAAAGTTCACTTATTTTGGACTAAAATACCATTTCCGTACGAACAAATTATTTCGGATCCAATAAAAGCAAATACCGGACTGCAGTTGCCAAATGTCGGACCACCGTCTCATTAACACACACCGAAACACATTTGTAAAACGCCAGAGTGCCCCTATACGCATCGCCAGACTGCCATATTGTTAAACTTCTGAATCCTCCAGTAAAATCATTATGTATTAATTAATTTTCTAGAACATACAGAGTCCCCTATACATATAGGGCTAATCAGTTATTGATAATAATGAACTAATCTAGTCTTATCAAGAGAGTGCTAATCAGTTATTGATAATAATGAACTAATCTAGGCTTATTAAGAGAGATATCTACATCAAATACAAGATAAACTTAAAATTAAAAATTATCATCAACTATCTATATCTTCTGGACTATCTCTACTATCTCTATCTCTACAGTCCTCCTCAAACTGAGGTTGGGTGAACATCAGCAATTTGTCAACGAGATAGTCATGACGAGCACTAGTCATTGCCTTGGTAAAGATATCTGCAAGTTGTTGTTGGGAGGTAATATATGGGAGTGTAATTTCTCCGGCCGGAAACTTGTCACGAATGAAATGACAATCAACTTCTATATACTTTGTGCAGTCATGAAACACTGGATTTGACGCAATACGTATAGCGCTCATATTATCAGCATACAATGGTGTAGGAGTTCGATGAAGAATATTGAGGTCCCATAAAAAACCTCTCAACCAAATAATTTCACTGCAAGCTGAGGACATTACTCGGTATTCAGCTTCTGTAGAAGATTTAGACACAGTTTGTTGTTTCTCACATTTCCATGAGATAAGAGAATCTTCAAAAAAAATACACTACCCAGTGGTTGAGCGTCTAGTATCGGGGCATCCTGCCCAATCCGCATCGGTATAAACTCGTAACTAGATAGAAGAGTTAGAAGAGAATAAAAGATCTCTATGATATGTAGCCCATAGATAACGAATAATACGATGGACAACAGAGAGGTGGATGCGACGAGGATCAACAACAAATTGGCTAATGACCTGAACTGCATGAGAAATATCTAGACGAGTCATAGTAAGATAAAGTAGACTCCCAACCAGTTATCTATAAAGAGTAGGATCTGGAAGTTTGTTGACATCATCCTTTCTATGTTTTACATTCACCTCCATTAGTGTATCTACTCATTTCTCAACAAATAAGTTGACCAGTTTGATCAAGTATTTGATGTACTTATTCTAGTTAACTATGTATCCATTAGGGGAATAATGAATCTCCAACCTAAGAAAATAAGTTAACGGACCTAAATCTTTCATTTTGAATGATTGATTGAGAAACTCTTTCAAGTGTCTGATATTATCCAGGTTGTCTCTTATGACGATAATAACATCAACATATAGGAGAAGAATTGTTATTCCTGAAGAACAATGATGAGTAAATAGCGAATAGTCATGAGCACTTTGTTTCAACCCAGCATGCAGAACGACCTGTCGAAATCATTCAAACCATGCTCTTGGAGCTTGTTTTAAACTATATAAAGCCTTTTTTCAAATGACATATCATAGATTTATTATTGCAATAACCAGGAGGATGTCGCATATATACTATCTCTTTCAAATATCCATGGAGAAATGCATTTTTCATATCTATTTGAGATATAGTCTACTGACGAATAGCGGAGAGGGCAATTACGATTTGTATAGTTGTCATTGTAGCAACATGAGCAAACGTTTCATCATAGTCTATACCATACGCTTGTTTGTAACCTTGAGCAACTAATCGTGCTTTATATCGCTTTGATCATTCCATCATATTTAAGCTTCACAAAAAAGGCCCATTTACTGCCAATAATAGATGTGTGAGGAGGACACAGAACAAGATCTCAAGTATCATTTTCCAACAAGGCACTGATTTCTAAATCCATTGCCTCTTTTCAACAAGGCATAGTCAAGGCTTGCTGGTAGGAGGGAGGAATATCCACCGAATCTAAAAGGGCAAATAATGATCGAGGGAGTAAATAGAGATCTAGGTCTTTAAAAGGAAACTCAATCGTATCAAGAGAAGTAAACAAAGCTCTAGGATGTAGTGAAAAAAGGGAGAAACCATATCGAACAAGTGCGTGAGGTATACGTG